TGTACTCACTACATACTCATTGTTTCCCACTGCCTCTTTTGCTTTCAATGTGTCCTGTGAATGTCAAATTATTCTCGAAGCTCTTATTCCTTATTAAACATCCCAGAAGTTTCAACTGTCTCTTTTTGATTCTAAGACACTGTTCTTTTTGCTCCTATTTTTATTAAATCTTTCTTTTTGCACATGTGTTCTATCTGTACTATTTGCAGCAGTCTTCTGTAGAATCACATCTCTTGCCTCAAGTCTCCTCTTCATTTGTAAAGAAATTAGTCATACATTTATTGCTATATAAGAGGATTGATATTACATAGCATTTCAGCACTTTTTCCTTTGTTTCTAATGACATTTTCTTTTTTCTTAATATTTTATTTAACTTTTGGAAGGTATCTTTAGCTGTTACAATGTACCTTCAGATATTTGTTTTACATTTTCCATCATCTGTTATAACACTTCCCTTTTATACAGATTCTAAAACTCTATTCAAATTATAATTCATTCATTTCAAAAGATTCATTCAAATGTTAAATCAAATTAATATTTTAATCTTGGAATATGCTACCTGTTAACTATTGTTTATTGTAACTGGTATAACCCCTCCTCAACTTAATGAACTGTTCCTATCAGCAGGAGTATAGACTTGTGTCCCCTTCTGCCCAAGGTGGATTGGGACATTAAATACTATTTAAACTGCTGTGATTTCTCTGTTAGCACTTCTAACTTTTATTTTTGGGATTTATTGTGCATGAAAACATACAACAGTTGTGGCACAAGGCTTGAAAGAGGGGATGGTTTAAGGCTGGTTGACACTATCTTATACCTAAGTAATCAAATTCATGACCCATTCATTCAGTACAATTTGCACATCCACCACAAGAACTCGTGCATCATCATTTAATCCTACATATACCTCAATACTGCACACACACAGGGAACCTACAAAACACCATATGACATAAAAATTGTTGAGTATAAAATTATATATAAAAATCTATTGATGATAAGCAATGAAGGCGAGGGGATGAACCCCCAAACAAATTAAAATATAACAAAAACACACAAACTAAAGATAACTGATGTTAGTTGAACCCGTCCAACCCCCAAAGAAATAAGAGAGGCTGCTGTATTCTGTCTTCAGACAAAATCAAGAGGATCGCTTGCTAAGGGAGAGGGAAAGATAAAATACAGCTATGGGAAAAAAAGAAACTGACACAATCGAGATAAAAAAAAAAGGGGGAGAAAAAACAAACTGTGGAGGTTGAGAATCTTGACTTGGATCATAACCAAAGAGGAAACCAGGAACAGGTCAGGAACAACACTTACTCATATTAACTAGGTACACAAGAAGGGTCTATCCTAACCAGGAGAGGGCTCCACAGTAAGCCACCCCATTGTGAATTAGGGCGACTTAAAAAAGAAAATCAAGGTTATCCCTGTTCACACGAACAAGGCTCGCCATAGTTACTCACCTTTCACTGAAATCTGTTGGTGCCAAACACTTTCTATCAATTCTAATCTTCATCCTGAGCTCAAAGAATTGCATTAGATCATGATGAAAATAGTGTTCTCATCGCAAAGTTTTCCTCCATTCGTGTCAGCCAAATCATCATTCAAGCTGTGGCTAACAGCACTGGAAACCCCATCTGTTTCACCTCAGAATACAGGGGCGACACATCTATGGGATCAATGAGCTTTTCAGGAGTGATACAAGCCATCAACTCGCCATAGTCCCATAGGGGGCGCACCCAAGGACATTGGTAGAAGTCATGCAAAGCCATTTCCTCTAAGCCAAGGTCACATCGTTCACAGTCTGGCAAATCATCCCATATGAAGGCCCTGTCATTGAGAGATAGCATATTCTGAACCAGTCACCAGGTAAGTGAAAACTCAGGGTTGCTGAGGTAACCTGCCGATTGATCCCAGGGCTTACAAAAGTGCTCATCTCGTGAGATGAGAGGAGTGATAGTAAGGAAAGGGAAGGCAGCTTTTTACACTCCCTGACAAAATTGAGTCCTCCATCAATGCAAAGCCAGCCTTGAGGTGAGTTTGTGACTCTCCAAATGTGGCAATCCCAGCATCCTATGACACAAACGCTGAGTACAGACTTCTCTGTTGATGTGATACTTGTGTTCCTCTCACAAGTGCTTGATTACCTTCTTATGTTCCTTACAGAGAGGAAGTACAGATAAGTGGTAAGGTAAAGGACAAGAGGAAAGATGCACATGCCTCTGCCCTGCCCTTCAAGGACAACTGACTTTGGTGCCAAGTCTCAACTGTCGTGCCAATTTTTGCCTGTACTTCTGACCAATTTTTCTCCATCTGGAGGTTGCGTCCAGACCACACTCCCAGAATGCAGACAGGACCGTCCATCTAACCAAAGGGCCCCAGAAGATCGGCCTCTGTCCAGACATCTAACCACAAACCAGAAGACTTGTTGCAGTTAATCTTTGTCCCTGTGACCTTTTTGTACCATTTAAGTACCTTCAGTACCACCTTAATGTCACTGCAGTATGACACAAAAGTATATATGTCATTGACGTATGCAGAAGATCTGGCTCAAGCTCTACCAGGGACAGCAATTCCATGTAGAGCTGGACTGCACACCCTGTTTCTTGGCCAGTGGAGGAGATGCTCCAATACCAAAGTGTAAAATAAGGATGACAGGGAACAACCCAGACAAACTGACTGAGACAGCACAAAAGCATGTGACCACTTTCCATCCACCTGTACCACAGCATTGGGGGAGTGATACAGTAAGCTAATCCACTGGCAGAAGGCATGTTTGAATCCGGTGGCCTACAGGACAGCAGCCAGGTAGCAATGGTCAACACTATGAAATGCCTTGGACTGATCCAAATTGATCAGTGTGGCTTGATCATCATCTTTTATACCCTCTAGGATCATGTGGCTCAGATGCAGGTTGCTCTGAATTGTTCGACCCTTCACAGGACAAGTCTGCTTGGGTCCCAAAAAAAAATCTCAGCAACTGACTACAATTGCTCTATCAGGATCTTGGCCAAAATCTTTAACTCTGCATTTAGCAGAGTTATGGGTCTGTAATCATCTAAATCCAGCCCAACAACTTTGCCCATTTTCAACAGTGTGATCATACCCTTGGAGATCCAGTTGGGGAAAGACCCCTGGCGAAACCAGTTGTTGAACACCACTGTCAAAATCAGGACAAAGATGTGTGACAACCTCAAGTACAATTGATAGGTCAAACCATTAAGTCCTGGAGACTTGCCTCTGCCGATCTTCTTCATTGCAGCCTCTATGATCCTGCCACATAGCTAACAGCCTCAGTTGGCAAAAGCCAAGGAAAGTCAGCCAAATAGCTGTGAAACTCTTCATCACAGAGACCAGGCTCTTTGGTAAACCGGCTCTTGAAATGCCACTGAAACACCTTACACATATCCTCAGTTACCCTCAGAGTACGCCTCACTGGAGTTTTGACCTTTTGAATGTAGCAACTGGAACCTCAATAGATTTCTTCATTGTGCAGTTCTGTACCCATGTTTACAGCTTTGAAAGACATCTTGCTTAACTTATGCCTAATTACCTGACCCTGGTAGCACTTGCTAGCCAAATGCTGCAGGGCTTCCCTAGCAAACCCTATCTCTAGGGGATCCTGCTCAGCTTCCACCCGGGAAAGACTATCCGTAAGAGACTTCACCAGTGCGAGCTGCTGGCTAAATTTGGTGGTGAAGGACCTAATCTTATCCTTAAGCCTCTCCCACCACCTATTCCCAATAACCGTACCCACTAGTTCCCGCTTCACTACAGTAGTTAGCTATTCCTGGAAGTCCCACCTGTCCAATAAAGACAGATTGAACTTCCAGCCATTCTAGGCTCACACTCCAAAGCCACCCAGGTACAGACAAGTCAGTGGTCTGAAGAGCCTAACCAGTAGAATGTGGGACAATCTAGTAGATCTATATCAGCCATTCTGATTAAGATTCTATCCAGGTAGTTAGCTACCTGGGTAGATGTCCACTTAAATGCCCACATCCATATCTCCCCTTCTGGGTGATTGACCCGGTATCTATTAACAAGACCAAACTCATCGATCAGATCAACCAAGCTACAATTGCCTGACCTCCCACTAGCTCTCCGTCCCTTGTCTAACTTGGAGTCCAGGATGGCATTCCAGTCCCCTATTAAGACTAGACATATGGAATCCACCAGGAATGGTGCCAACTGCCAAAAAAAACTAAACACACTCTTTCCAGTCAATGGGTGCATAAACCGCAGTGATAAAAAACGAACTACTTTTCACTGCAATATTGGCCATAATCAACCGGCCCCCCACATTGACATAGCAAAGGTCCACCCTCACATCCAGGGTATGCTTACCCAGCAAAGAAACACCTCTGGCCAGTCAGTCCCCATATGCTGAATTGATGACAAAGTCATTAGACAGCACACAAGCATCAACGTTGCATCAAAGTGAGTTTCCTAGATTGTGGTGACATCCATACCGAACAACAAGAGATCACAAAGTTACCTGTGGCACTGTTAGCAAAATTTTCCATTCCTTTTCTCATGGGGCTGAGAGTTCGGATTACTATTGGTACAGTCTCAGTCTTCATTCCCTGCATCCTGTTAAGCTCAACCTCCGGGTACCTTCCTAATCTTTTGAACAGGAGTAGAGGTTTATTCCTTGTTTCCTGTTTAGGATTGGAATAAGTTTTCAGACTCAGTTTGGATGCTGTGCATTGGAAATCAAAACAAAAAAATTATCTTTAGTCAAAAATTAATTTAAATATTACTGATAGAATAGGACTATTATTTGTATAATTCCAGGTAAAAGAGACAACCTAAGCTCAAAAATGTATTCATGCCAGTATTAAAAAAGGATTTAATTTTTAAGTCCAATTTTTCACAGCATAATTTTTCAAAATTTATATTTCTGAGATTTGGCCAGAAGAAAATTATATTTTACCCTGAAAGATTTGGATAAACACAAGATAGCTACTTTACATAAATGTGCTTATGGCCGTATGCTAGTGAAACACAGGTTCCTGCATAATCACCAAAGTTAAGCAATGTTGAGCCTGGTCAGTACCTAAATGTGTCACCATCTGGGAATACTGGGTGCTGTAAGATTTGGTATGGAGGTGGTGTAATGGATAATGGCTTGGAATTGTTAATCAAAAAGCAGAGTTCCAATTCCAGTTGGGTTCATTATATTCACACTTACTCTTGGGAAAGGTATGAATCCACCTCTTCTCCCACCAGTTATAGGTTAATTAGTAAGACTTTTAGCAATAAACCATTAAAAAATCCCCCCCTCTAAATTCTTACTATCTAAAAATATTTTCTGCAAAGGGTTGATAAGCTGTAGAAAATGAATCTATCAATAGAAAACTTTATATAAAAGAATAACTAGCGTCGCACAAATGTTATTAATGTTTTACAGATCTTTATATCATTATAAAGATGGGATAAATATCAAATTTAACTTTTTTATTCTTCTGTTATGTGCTGTGGCCACTCATGCTTCTCCATAACTTCCATCAGTCTCTGTTCTGTCATGCATTTAAGTTGAATCTCAATGGTTCTCTCTTCCCCTTTGGCCTTTTAGTGTCCTGTGAGTGTCAAATTTTTCGAATCCTCTTTCCTCATTATGTGTCCTAGAAATTTGAACTCTCTCTTTCTGATTGTTAGTAAAACTGTGCCTTTGTTCTATTTTTATTAAAACTTTCTTTTTGCTCCTATGTTCCATCTGTGGTATATGCTGTAGCCTTCTGATCCCAAGTCTCCCCTTCATTTATTAAGAAATTATCCATATAAGAGGATTGATATTACATCACAGTTCAGTACTGTTTTCTTTTTCTTGTGAAATTTTCCCATTTCTTAATACTTAGTTAAGCTTTTGGAAGGCATCTTTTACTATTTCAATGTATCTTCAGATTTCTGTGTTATAGTTTTTGTCTTATGTTATAAAACCTCTCAGTTAAATTTCTGTACTTGCTTTATTTTGACGTCTCCATTTCACAGATTGCATCCTGTGCTGTCCCTCTTGCTAATGAACATACATTCTGTCTTCTTTACAGTTGATTGTTACTTAAAACAAATCATGGCTATACTAAAAATAATTAGTAAAATAAATATCAAAACAATTTAATGTTGATAGTTGTATGATAAAAATATCAACATTTTCATTCTTTAGAAAAAAACAAACAAAAATAGATGTTGCAGATATGTAGACCTAACCATCATAAAATTTAATGGAGACATAACATGGTGACTATATAAATAATGTTAAGTAAAATTTATCATTGAACAAGTGAATGTGGTGATTGGATACACTGAATTTCACTAAAAAAGAATTAAAGAGAATTAAAAGAAGAGAATTAAAATTTAATTTGAAGAGAAATAAAATTTAAGAGAATTAAAAAGATAACTATAAAGAAATCCCTTAAAAAATTTAGAGTGTGTCTATCATTGCTTTTATTATTGTTTTTATGTTGAAAAATTTGAGTTTAATACTTAAATTTTACCTTGTCTTAGAAAGGTTTTCTGAAATATTTATCTTTTCTAGGTTGCTAAAAAAAAACAAATATTAAAGAGACATATAAGTAAAGACGGTGGAGTAATGGATAACGGCTTGGATTTAGGAATAGGAGAGCTGAGTTCGAATTCCAATCGAATCCATTACATTCACTTACATGCTAATACCCTTGAGAAAGGTATGAATGCTCTTCTTCTACCCCCAGCTATGGGTAAATAGCAGGACAGACTGGGTTCTAAAGCCTTGGATGGCAACTGGTCTACTGCAGAAAGAAATGGCAACCTACTGTGGGAAAAAATCTACCTTGTCAGTCATGTATCAAAAGATACATGATTGCCTAAACGTGTATCACACATGACACATAATTGACTGATAAGTAAAATTATAAATATAGACAGAATATAGCATGCAAATTTTATATGAAAGAAAAAAATATTTCAATCTTTAGGTTTATTTTTTTTTAAACAGAATGCTTGAAATAAACTTAAATAACAAAAATTGGTAAACATTGTGCAATGTTTTCCTGCATGTTGCAGTACTTTTAATTTACTTTTTAATTTACTTTTTAATTTACTTTTGAGATGAAGAATTATCATTATTATGTCTTTCTATTTAGATTAGTTCATGTAAGTTAGTATAATCATAATGTTTTAGCTGTAATACCTTCTGACCTTCTTTGGGTATCTGTTGTCATCAGCAACTGCCTTAGAATATTGAACTGACTCAAGAGTTCTATAATAGGGGCACCACATGTACTGCATCTATAGCAGCTATGGTGTGTCATAGACAAGATAGGCTGATTTGAATTCAGAGCTTTTCTTCTCCTAAACTGGCTGCCAACACAATCTGTTCAGTTTATCCATAACTGGGAGAAGAGGAGATGGATTCATATGTTTTTCAAGGGTTTTTGTGTATAAAAGAATTTAACTAAGTGGAATTTGTATTCGGTTTTTCAATTTCTCATTCTGAGCCACTATCCATTACACCACTTGCACATTCAATTTATTGAACTGAATCCTTTATTAAATACATAGGAGTAGATAGTTCTCATTCAAAATATGACAGGCGCCTATTAACATTGTGAGCATAACAACCAAGATGAGTATACTAGAAAGTATAATAAAAAGGCATAAATTTATTTTAATTGTGAAATTAAATTTTAGATGCATGGATTTTTCCTTTACATCTATTATTAGCACAATGTCAAAATGTATTCCTGCAATGTTTTCTAATTTCAATATTTAAAAACTCATTTCCGTTTTGTTTAATCTTTGCAGAGCGCTATTTCAAGTTGAAAATGTTCCAAAAATCTCATGGTTCTTGGATGACAATGTTTATGACGACACTTGTTTGTCTGTTAATTTTTTCATACCTCTACAATGCCTTTCTCTTGATTGGTGGAGAGAGTACAGAAGGATATGACATCACCACTGCCATGGGTATCACCAATGGGCTCTTTATGAAAGGAGCTGCCTGTGGAACGTGGTGTGGAGATTTCTTTACTGCTTGGATGGTAAGTTTTCTATTTTCTAATTATTCATGTAATAGATTGTTGCACTATCTTTTGCATAGTATTAGGGAGATCTAAGAAGTGCTCTAAAATGTATTCAGTTCTTTACTGTTTGTGCAGTTAGTGACCTTGAAGGAGGAATCGATGAGCTGAGTTTAAATTCTAGCTGAGTTTGTTGTGTTCACTTTTGCACAAATACCACTGGAAAGGAATTAATTCATCTCTTCTTCCCAAACTATGGGTTAAGTAGCAAGATCCTCTTCCCTTGAGGTGGCAACCAGTCTGAGAGAAGGAAAAGTTTGAATTCAAAAGCAGCCTGTAGAATTAGCAGTACTTGAGAAAATGCTGTCTGAGTGGAACATTTGCTATTTGGAGGAAATGAAGGTGATTCAACTCTGTGGAAGTACTATGTCATGTTCTAACTGTAAAGGTCTCAACTAGTACAACTAAAGAATGGAGATCATATAAACATTTGCCATAGACGTGGCAGTAGGTATGGAACATTGTGTCTGCACAGACCGGAAAATAATTCGTACTAGTTATGCAACTAATAAGACTTATAAGTTTAATAAGTATGTGACATTGTGTATGTTGCAGAGTGGAAAATAAGTTTTCCATCATAAAACAATGTAAGTGATTTTTAACTCTATCAAGGCTGAAAAGTGAGGATTGGGCAGATTCAGCCCTGATATGGCAGCAGTCGGTGGAGTAATGAATAGCGGCTCGGATTGAGGAATCGGAGAGCCAAGTTCAAATTCCAGTCAAATCCATTACATTCTCTTATGTGTTAATACCCTTGGAAAAAGGTATGAATCCTTTTCTTCTCCCCCCAACTATGGGTAAATAGCAAGACAGACTGGGTTCTATAGCCATGGATGACAACTGGTCTACCACAGAAATGGCAACCTACTGCGGGAAAAAATCTGCCTCATCAGTCATGTATCGAAAGATAGATGATTGCCTAAGCGTGTATCATGCATGGCACATAACTGACTGACTCCATTTTTGGTCTAATCTTACTCTTGACTAAAGTAGAACCTGCCAGAAGAGTCAGGTACTTTCTAGAGTGACAGAGTGAGCTGACCATTTTTTCCTGCATCTCTTAGCAATGGATTGTATATATTCATTCTACTTGAGTTCTGGAGTGAATTTTAGAGCCAATAGATGTTCAAAGCATGGCATCTCATTTGATTATATCATCATTTTCCCTTTGAGTTACATGTTATTTTATTTTTTTAATTATTTCACCCCAAGCAAGGCAGAAATGCCACTAGGGTTACAGAGAGTGAAAGTGAGTGAAAAGATTGGGTATAATGGGAATTGAGGAAACAATAAAAAATGTATGGGATTCAAGAAGACAGAAGATGGCAATTGACATTACATTTAAATTTTTGAAGATTGTAGTTTTCAGGGAAGCAAGTAAACGGAAGGGAGTTCCACTGTTGGGAAGTGCAAGAAAAGAAACTGTTGGCATAGAAATGACAGTTATTTCAACCGTAAATATGTGGGACCTAGATGCGAATCAAGTAGTGCGCTTAAATTCATGCAGTCAGGACACCAGAGAAACTAGCTCGTCAGAGCAATTGGCATGAAAATATTTGTAGAAAAGAGAGAGGGAAGCCACATCACATCAGTGAGTGTGATATCAATTTTTATTGCTCCTAATATTGAAAGTTCTTTTGTGATTATGTTGCTGTCCTTTGTGATTCTGTTGTGCCAGTCCACAGGGTTAGAAGAAGTTTAGACTACCATGTATGATATGCATAAATTATTTGGAAAAAGAAGGAAATAGTTTCAAATTAATATAAGCTTTTCCCAATTTTACAAATAAATTATTCATTATATAAAACTATTTGATTATCTCTTGAAATATTCTATGAAAGTTATGCAAGAAAAAAATGTATGCAAGGTTTTGTTCAGAATTCAAGAAGATTAAAGAATTCATCTCAGTGTAAGTGCTTTGATCCAAATAAAAAAGATAAGGATACTCATTTAAACAGATTATGCAATAATGATGATAGTTCATTTCAGAACTTATCAAAAATATGTTGTAAAAATAGTTTATGCAGTCATAATTTC